CCTGATACTGGTCCAGATACTGGTTCCAGTCCTGATACTGGTCCAGTCCTGATACTGGTCCAGTCCTGATACTGGTCCAGTCCCAGTTCTGATACTGGTCCCTCCTCAGAGTCGGTGCGGCCAGCAGCTCCGGATCGCCCGGGTTCTGCTCAACAGCCCAGAGATCGTCAGCATCGGCCTGGTGTGGGACTCGGAGAACTCGGACCTGGCCGAGGACGTCATCCACTCTCTGGGAACCTGCCTGCGACTCGGAGATGTGAGGAGCCGACCCGGAGGTAAACCAGAGCGCGGTGGGCAGTCGGACTGACTCGATTCTGGTTCTGCAGCTGTTCTACAGGGTGACTGAGGAGAAGGCCCGGCGGGCCGAGCTCTACCTGGTGGGCGTGGTCTGCTACTACGGCAAGCACTACTCCACCTTCTTCTTCCAGACCAAGATCAGGAGGTGGATGTACTTCGATGACGCTCATGTGAAGGAGGTGAGACCCGAAACCAGCCGGCCCGGTTCTGATGGAGCCCGATTTATGACCTTAAACCTGGTGGAGGGTCCCACCAGGTGAGGTCCCAGCCCTTGGTGAATCAGCCTTTACACTGACGCAGTACATATAATTATAATATTCAAAATGTCTCACTGCTCAATACTATAAAATATTAAAAACCAAAAACATTCGGCGTTCTCCTCCCAGCTGCTGATGGAGCTCCGCTTCACGCCGTTCGTGATTTATAAATCAGATTTAAACGGATCCACGACTAGTTGAACGTGTTGATCTAAATAAGTTGCAATTTTCCTATTACTTAAAAAATTGCTGTTTTTGATATGCCAAAACTCATAATTACTTCAAAAATGTACATCTTTTGTTATATTTGTCGCCCATGGAGGTCGCCATTTTTTCATTGATGACGTCATCAGGTCCGTTCTGTACTGGAGTCTACAGAGTAAACACAGGAAGGCTAACTTTGCCCCAGTAGTTGTTTATCATATTGGGTTTGACTGGTGTCATTTTAGATAATGCCACATATGCCACTATCAGCTATGATAAAAAAATAAAAATAAAAATTGAGACAGAATCTGGATAATTTCCCACATGAAAGAAAGGAGAGCGCAGTGCGAGAGCCGGAGAGGAACACAACAAAGGACCTAATCTGGACCCTGGACATTTCTCCNCANCGCTTTGAGCCATTTATACCAGCAGAACCAATGAAGCTAACAGGTGGTCTTTGCCTTAACGAGCTAAAAATAAATGCCTGCTGCCGTTGAGACAGGTAGAGCTGGACGCTCTTTGAGATGCTAACAAGAGCTATACTGCCTGCGGTACTGACACCACCGACACCGGACCTCCATGGGTCCGGTGTCGGTGGTGTGTCCATTACTACTGGAAATGCTAACGGAAATGCTAATGGAGCCATTACTACTAGAAATGCTAATGGAGCCATTGCTGCTGGGAATGCTAACAGAAATGCTAACGGAGCCATTACTGCTAGGAATGCTAATGGAAATGCTAACGGAGCCATTACTGCTCCGTTAGGTTATAATAATACCAGAATGATCTGAGATAATAGAATAATGTCATAACTTGAGAAGAAAATTGTATTAAACCAATAGTAAAGTTATAAAAATACCAAAGATAAAGTCATAAATATGAGCATGTTGTCAGAGAATAAAGTCATATTTTACAGTGTAACTGATAATTAATCTGTGGAAATAATCAAATTATGATGAAGGATGAAGGATCTGCTCCTCTTCCTCACTTCAGCTCACAGTTACATCCATCCATCCATCTCTCTCTCTCTCTCTCCTCCTGCTCTAGTTTTTCATTCTTTCTTTGTGAAACAGGAAATCCCTCCATTGTTTGTTGGTGCAGCTGGTTGGATCGGAGGTCAGAGGTCAGATCAGTGAACACTTTTCACCCACGCTGCAGACCAGCTCCCGTCTCTTTCTGCCTGTTAAACAAACCATTACTCTCTTTGCTCTGGTCTGGTCCAGTCCGCTCTGGTCCGGTCCGAGCGCTGCTTTGGAAAACGGAGGACGGGTGGAAACGATAGAGAGAGAAAAGAAAAGCTAAAGGAGGAAGAGGAAGTTTTTCTTCCTTCAGAGAGACGGTGAGACGCTGCTGGCAGGATTCAGGTCATGTTCTCACGTTTACAGCAGAATCAGATGTTAAAACCAGCTGGGTTTATTTCCAAATACTTTGGCTCTCGTTTTTAGAGGAACGTCAGAGAAACTGGTTGAAGCTCAGTTCGATTTTTCTTTAGTTTATGGAAAGTTTTCAGTTAGACATGAATCCATCTGAGTATATTCAGAAAACCTGAATCAATACTGAAACTAACTGATGTTTGAGTGAACGACTAAAACTACTAAGTATTATTATTGTTATTGTGAATAGTTTGTTTCATGGGGTTACGGTTACTTTGGACAAGAAAATGGAGGTTAATGATGATGGATGGATGGTTGATGGATGATGAGTGGATGGATGTTGGATGGATGAATGATAGATGGTTGATGGTTGTTGGATGGATGTTGGATGGATGGTTGTTGGATGGATGGATGATGGATAGCTATTCAACCTTCGTTTCCATAGAAACCGATTCTTGTTGAATAAATTTGAGGCTCAATGTGAAATCAGTGTGAAAATCTTCTCTCTGATTTTCATGCTGACTCTGAAACATCCCATAATAGTTTCATGTTTCTGTGTTTATATGAATCAGAAGCAGAAACATTCGTTCCCATGGCAACCAGAGCAGAGCTCAGGTCTCCTCTGGTTCTCCGGTGGTCAGTTCTGGGGTTAGCCCTCAGAACTGGATCCAGTCCAGAACCGGACCTCCAGCGTTCAGAGGTTTCAGTGAACGGCTCCAACACGGCCCTGCTGTTCCCCCTCCCTCCCTGTTTCTGCTGTTCCCTCAGATCGGGCCCCGGTGGAAGGACGTGGTGTCGCGCTGCATTAAAGGCCGCTATCAGCCGCTGCTGCTGCTGTACGCCGACCCGCGTGGGACGCCGGTGACCCTGCAGGACCTGCCACCACGCCTCGACCTGCAGCGCCTCCACAAGGCCGGCTACGACAGCGAGGACTCGGGTAACCAGGAGCCACTCGGCCTGTAGGGCTGCCGGCTATCCTGCAGCCGGCAGCCCTGTAGCAGCTAGCTGCTGTAGGGCTACCGGTAGCTCTCTGTGTGTTTAACTCATAAATGACCCATCGCTGCCCCCTGCAGGCCGCGAGCCGTCCATCTCCAGCGACACTCGAACCGACTCGTCCACAGAGAGCTACTGTGGCCGCCAGTCCTCCCAGTCCTATCATGAGGCCGTGGCGAGTCGCTGCTCATCCGACTCCCAGGGAACGCTCGTCTGCATGGAGCGACCCGACAGAACGCTGCACGCCTCCCTCTGCAGCCTGGACGCCATAGGTACCAGACTGTCCTCTGTTGTCCTCACTCACTGCTTCACTGCTTCACTCATTCATTCATTCACCGTGTTGCATGATGGGTAAACCATCCCATAATGCCTCTCATTGTAAGGCCGTGTGGCAGATGAGCAGCCTCTGAGGAAAGGAGGCGGGGCCACAGACAGGAGGCGGAGCTCCAACAGGTCTCGGCGAATCAAACCAGAACCCGATCCGCCATCAGCAGGTTACCACAGCGATGGTAGGCGGGGCTTAGATTAACGAGGAAACGCTAAAATAAATTATAATCTAATGAACAGGAAGGTAGACTCACCTGAACTCAAAGATCAGAATAAAGAGTTTATTACATCAGTTAGTTTATAAAACAAAACAAGCAGGTGATGAAGATGATGAGGTTTGATTTAATCTGATTAATCTGGTTCAAACTGGTTTAATCTGGTTCAAGTCAAATTAAACCAGTCTGATTAAACCAGATTAAACCGGTTTAATCTGATTAAACCGGTTTAATCTGGTTTAATCAGATTAAACCGGTTTGATCAGACTGGTTTAATCTGATTAAACCAGATTAAACCGGTTTAATCTGATTAAACCGGTTTAATCTGGTTTAATCAGATTAAACCGGTTTAATCAGACTGGTTTAATCTGATTAAACCGGTTTAATCTGGTCCGTTCTTCATGTCCTCATTCTCTCGCCTTTGGCTCCTCATCGCTGCTGTCCTCTGTCCTCCTCCGTCTCTCCTCTCGTCCTCTACATGTTTTTCTCCTCCGTCCTCCAGGAGAAACCTTAAAGGAGAAGCAGGCTCCTCGGCACCTCCCCAAACCTTCATCCTGCTCCTCATCCTCAGCCAGTCGCCTCAGAGACTTTAAGGAGACGATGACCAACATGATCCGCCCGCTGTCCTCCTCGTCCTCCTCCTCTCTGCCGGCCGCCGTCCTCTCCTCCGAGCTCCTCTCCTCCTCCTGCTCCAGCCAGCACCTCCCTGCTGCAGACACAGCTCTGTGCTCCTCCTCCGCTCCAGTCCAGGACTGGGAGGCTGACAGCACCAGCAGCGAGTCCAAGGCCAGCTCCTCAGGAGGAGCAGGGAGGTGCCGGCCGGCGTGGAGGCCGCGGAGGGAGACGCTCAACATCGACACCATCTTCATGCGCGAGCGGCGGAGGCAGGCAGGATACAGCCCGCTGGGAGGAGGAGCCTGTGAGCCCGATGGGGCCCACAGCACCTCGTCAGGCCAGGAGGAGGCGCCGTCCATCAGAGCGGCGTTCTCCCAGACTCTCCCCAGCTCCTTCAGAGGGCCGCAGCTCCCTGCGCCTCCTGCTGCTCCCAGGCTGATCCAGAGGATGGAGAGCGGCTACGAGAGCAGCGAGAGGAACAGCGGCAGCCCCGTCAGCCTGGACCTCAGCCTGGGAGACAGGTGAGACTGTTGGGGCCAAACCTAGAGGTGAAAGGTCACAGAATCACCAGAGGGAGCTGGTTCTGAGCAGTAGGAGCCCCAAACAACATTCATGAATTTCAGGTCTCTGATCTCAGGATAGAGTCTGGGGTCAAAGAGCAACAGGAGACGGTTCCCCTAAATCTGACACCAGTTAAGACTTGACCTTTGACTTATGGCTGTTGGAAAGAATCCCATCCCATAATATGATCCGCTGTGTCTGCAGGGAGAGTGGTGTGAAGAAGCCTTCCTCCTCCTCCTCATCCTCAGGACCCTCATGGAGGAACATCAGGTCAAAGAGCAGCGGCGCTCTGCTGCAGGACCTCGCCTCCTCCAGCAGGGGGAGCCTCGGTACGAAGGCTGCCGTCTGTAGGCCCTGATCCAGAGTCTGTCTGTAACCTGCTGTTCCTGCTGCTGCAGCGCCCCCCGCAGGCCGCAGCGAGCTGGACGAGCTGCAGGAGGAGGTGCTGAGGAGAGCCAGGGAGGAGGAGCAGCAGCGGCGGCAGGAGAAGGAGAGGGAGGAGGCGCTGGGCTTCAACCCCAGACCCAGCAAGTACCTGGACCTGGACCAGCTGCAGATCCAAGGTAACTCAGGTTCTGGTGGTTAAACCAGGAGTTCAGACCAGGATGGTGATCCCTGCTGAGTCTCCTGTTGTTCTGGTTCTGGTTCTGTTGGACTCCAGCACCTGCTTGACCCACTGAGCATGAGAGACGATGGATGGATAAACCCTGAACTTTGTGTCTAGTTGTTAAAGTCTCCAGATGTCCTGTGGTTCTTTGAAGACAGAGCAGTCCATGTTCATCTGGAGTCTAACTGATGACGGTTCCCCAGCAGAGAGCTGCCGGACCGGAGCAGATCCTCCAGAACCTGAAATGGGTCTGGGCTGGTTACCATGTGCAACCAGACTCTGGTCTGATGTAGAGAATCAGAAACCAACCGAGACAATCTGGACTTTGTGTCATGGAGCTTTGCTCTGCCTGAATGAGGGATGAGCCTCATCATGCTGACAGCTTCAAAGGTCCGCAGGAGGTTCTGATGGGTCCAAAATGGACCAAGACAGTACACCACACACCATCACCTGGATCCCTGATGCCTCTCCAGATGGTTTCATGTTTTCTGTTCCTGACTGTGGTATCTGCTGCTGTAGCTCAGCTGCTTCAAGGTTCCACATGTAATTTGGGGGAATAGTTAAATCATTTTGATCAGGGTGTGATTTTTATCAGAAGGAGAAACAGACCGGGTCACTTAGACCCGAACAGCCAGGAAAAAAGTCCAAACTTGCCACATGTATGAAGATTCCCTGGATATTCATTCCAGTCGTGTTTTAAATACTCCAGATGTGGTAAAAGTCCAGAGTAGTGAGCTGAAAGACTTACAGAGAGAAAACTGGACCAGCCAAAGCATTAACACACACCACTGTCAGAAATCTCAGTAAAGGCACCGTAACCATTAGCAGGTTGTAGATATTCATGGTTGAATTTGTGCTGATGGATTCATAAACCTCCGGTCGGTTCTGATGGTCCCAGTTTCTGTATCCACTGATCAAATCCCAACACGGTCGGCCCGACGGGTCAGAGGAATGAAACCGGAACCGGAGCAGGACGATCACCAGGAGCCAGAGTTGATCGATTCATTGATAATATCAATAACATTTATTAGAAACAATAGTTTTACATTCAGACGTTCTTCAGTTCTTGATTTGAACCAGAGGTTGTTACTGTGTGTGTGTGTGTGTGTGTGTGTGTGTGTTCCTATGCTGTGTGTGTGTGTGTGTTCCTATGCTGTGTGTGTGTGTGTGTGTGTGGTCAGCAGATGGAGCAGGAGGAATGTTCTCCACTGATCTGCTGAACAAACTCAAACTGAAACACAAAGGAAGTGATGAACAAACAGCTGCCATTGTTACTGACTCTGTGTGTGTGTGTGTGTGTGTCTTGCAGGTAAAGGCGAGAGCTTTGACAGGTGTGTGATGGAGGCGGAGCTCCTGCTGGACCAATCTCTGCGCTTGGAGCAGGCGGGTGACGTTGCGGCGGCGCTCTCTGCGGTCAATGAAGCCGTCTGTAAGCCCCGCCCCTTTGTGTGGCTCCGCCCCTTCATAACACATCTCATTCCTGCAAATGATAGTTAGACTTCCTGACATGTTTGTGTTCATGATCTGAAGTTAAACTGAGTCAGTCATGGCGGGGAACCAGAACCGGGTTCTCCGGTCTCTCAGGGGAACCTTAGCTCCTGTTTCCAGTCATTCGGGTCGATCGGCTGGTTCTGGGTTCTGATCCGGTCCAAACTACCTGAAACCTGCAGCAGAAGTCTGAATAATGAGAGTAGATCAATCCTGGATCCTGAAACAGAACCAGAACCTTCGGCCCAGATTCACTGGTTTGGGTTTCCATTCCTTCTGTTTGATTTCCTCGTGTCTGACCCACAGCGCCACCATGAGGCCGCATCGCCTCCTGATGTTTCACTTCCTGTTTCCTTTAAACATTTCTACATGACCTCATCACATCGTGTTATTATTTATGCATCTTTTCTTTCCCATTTATTCCTTTTCCTTTATTTTCTGTTTCCATGGTTACGTTTTCCTGCACCGCTGCAGCCAAGCTGCGGCCGGCGGCGGCTGAGGGCGGAGCCGGTAGCCACAGCCGGCTGCAGCGCTGCATGAGGAGATGCCGCAGCCTGCAGCAGCGCATGCTGCAGCTGCAGCTGCAGCAGTCAGAGGCAGTAAGACAGGAAGCAGAGCAGCAGGAGGAGCAGCAGACGCTGGAACAGCCCAGGTACCACCTGCTCTGCTCAGCCAATCACAGCTAAGCTGGCTCAGCCTGTTGGGGCTCAGTGCTGCCCCCTACTGTCAGTTCAGAGGATGAGCTGCAGGATCAGAGTGGAGCTGCTGGATCTTTTTTCCATTTCTGTGAAATTAGTTTTAAATCACAGTCTAAGCCCCGCCCCCTCAGAGCAGCAGGTGGCCTTCCTCTGGGTGACCTCAGTCTCCTCTCCCTCCTCTGCAGATCAAAGCCTCTCCCGCTCCCAGTACTTCTGACAGACAAGCAGGGCGACCAATCAGCTGCCCGACAGGACCACCAGGCTCCTCCCCCTTTCACCTGCCTTGTTAAGCCCCTCCCTCCTGCATCAGGTTTGCCCTCTGACCCCACCTCCAGCAGGAGCCCCTGCTCTGGCTTTGGGAAACCCCTCGGTAGCGCCAGGTCTCTCCCTGCTCTCGCTGTGGAAACCTACCTGGATGACGTGGCTCCGCCCCCTCCACCAGAAGAGGCGTGGCCTGACCCGTCACAAGCCCCGCCCCCACACCGGCCATGTTCCCAAACTCCATCACCTGCTGGAGGTAACGGGTGTCATGAGATGATGGAGGATTCGGGTTTCTCCAGAAACAAACAGGCCACGCCCAGAAGCCTAGCCCCGCCCTCTTCCTCCTGCCCAACCAGGAAGTGGTCTTGTTTAACTCCGGAACAGCTGGATGATTCTCCATCTATCAGCTCCACCTTTTACTCTCCCTCAGGCTCCGCCCCCACTGTGGGCCGGCCAATCAAGAGCTGCTCCCCACCAGCCAATCAGCTTCTCAGAGCTGCCCTGCCTGTGCAACGCTGGGCTGAAAACATCAACAGATACTACAACTCCCAGCATGCAGCAGAGGGGGAGGAGTTATCTGAGCTGGAGACGCTGTACCAGGCCAGCCTGCAGGCTCCCAGCATGCCACGGGGCAGCCGTGGAGTCAGCCCGCAGCCAGGGGGCAGCAGAGCAGGTAGGAGCACAGACAGGCAGGAACTCCTCCGATGTGAACATGAGTATGAACACTTTCTGTCTCTGTTCCAGCGGTGAGGAGAACGCCGTCTGGATCCAGACGCTCCAAAACGCCGACGGCTGAAATCAAGAGAAACGCCTACAGGAGACCGGCCTCACCTGGAGAGCAGGTAGAACCCACAGGAAGCTGCTGCGCTAACACCAGAACCAAGAGACAGCTGAGCTATGATCAATGAACTGATCAGTAACCAGAGTTTTAGGTTTTTACAGACATCTGGTACTGTTCTGATCGACATGAGAACATTCTGTCTTTCCTGAACATCTGTTAACTTCCTGCTACAGTCGGTTTTTATCTGAGACGATTTCCACTTTATCAGGAATCGATTTCTGGTAGAAACATCTTTTATCTTTGATGTGAGTCTGGAAGTAAAATCCTAAAAACTGAAGAATGAAACCAGATTCAGCCTGAAGCTGAAATCAGAACTTTCAGTTGGAGTCGAATTAAATTCATCCAGAAGTTCTTCCTCATTGATTCACAGCTGAACTCTGTGTCCTCTACAGCCCCCTGCAGGCGAAGACGAGAACTACAGCGCAGAGAACCTGCGACGCCTCGCTCGAATTCTGAGCGGAACCGTCATCGGGTCGAGACCACAGAACCTCCAGCAGAACCTCCAACGCAGCTGTGTAAGTCACACACAGGTTCATGCTGCCACCTGGTGGTGACATGTCGTCACTGCAGCCTCCTTCATTTCCTGTTCCTCTGGTGATTCAGACATGAATGAGTTAAAGACCAGATAAAACCAGGAGGCTAATTCAGTTCTCTGGTTAAGAGTTAAAACTCAGACTGACTTTCATCCAAGAGTCCAGCAGGTTCAGTCTGAGGTCAAAGTTCAGCAGGTTCAGTCTGAGGTCAAAGTTCAGCAGGTTTAACATCAGGTTTAGTTTCAGATTCAGATCCTCTCCTCCGTTCGGCCTCAGGCTGCTGGTTAAACACTCATGTTTGGTTTAGTTTTGCCCTGAGCGCGGTCTGCCAGGCAGACCAGCCCGGTCCGCCGGCCCGGTCTGCTGGCCCGGTCCGTCCTGAACTCGGCCTTCAGGAGTCCTGAGGTTTTCCTCATGCTGAACATCGGCGCCTGCAGGCAGACTCTGATCTGCTGAAGCTACGGTGGCTCAGAGGAGACACGTCCTGACAGGAAGTCAGATCAGAACATTTCAGGGTTCGTTCAGTTCATCTTCATCGTGTTAACCGTTTCTCCTCTTCCCTCCATCTTCATCCCCCTCCTCGTCTTCCTCATCACATCTGAAGGACCCCTCTGTGTCCAGGCCCCTTCTCAGACACTCAGACCTTCACTGCTCCTCTTCCTCCCTCCTCCTCCACCCCAGCACCTCCTCCCTGCACCTCCCCTCCTCCTCCTTCACAGCAGATCGCTCCTCCTTCCACCGACTCCACAGCCCTCCGGCTCCACAGCGCCCCCACACGCAGACGCCACACCCCCCCCCCTCCTGGGGACGCTCAGGTAACCCCTTAACCTCCACATTCACCTGCTCCTCCTGACTTCCTGTTGGGTGAAACTCAAACTCTGATCTGGAGTTCAGTAGGAACTGGTTCTTCTGCTGCTGTTCACATCCTTTATGTAGTTCACTGAATCAGTTCACTAACCAGTTCTTTATGTTCAGTAGGAACTGGTTCATGTTCAGGATGTTTAATTTAGTTTTACCAATCAGTCGTCATCATGGCTGACTTCCTGCGGCTCTGATTGGCTGAGGAGTATTGCATCACTTCCTGTTGCTGTAATACTCTGTTCTTTGATCTAATTTCTAAATAATAAACTTTACTGATTAATTTTAACATAAACAAGTTAAAACATATTTTCTGTTCCTACATTTTACTTTTTAGGAACTGCTGAGCCTCGCTAGGCTAGTTAGCTTAACACTAGCTTTGTTAGCTTAGCATCAGCAGCTCCATAGGAAGCATCGATCCAGAACCACCGACCCGTTTGAGTTTCTCCTGCTCAGAAACAACCTGCTGATGATTCTGATTGGTTCTGATTGATTCATCTCATCTCATTGGTCGGTTAACTGGACTTTAACCTGATCAACTGGACTAAATAAACCAGTTTTAACCAGAACCGGAACCAGAACCAGGCAGGTCTTCTCCAGGTGAACCTGCTGACTCTGCTCTTCCTCCTCCTCATCCTCAGGTTCTCCTTGGCACCAGGTTCTGGTTCTGTCTGACAGCGGTCCGACTCCCTCAGCTCTCCACAGCGTCGCCATGGGTTACGCCACTCTTCCTCGCCACGCCCCGCCTCCCCCCTCCTCCTCTTCCTCCCTCCCCAGGCCCAGACCCGGTTCTGCTGGTCCACAGCGTCTCCTCGCTGACCCGGTCGACCCCCACCACCATCATCAGGCGTCACTTCCTGTCGGAGGAGCCGGCGCTGCTCCACGGCGCCCCCGTGTGTCAGGAGACGTTCCTGCTCAGCCTCTGCGCCTGGACGTTCCCCCGGAGACGGACTGGCGGCGCCATGTGGACCCGCGGGCCGCCCGGTACCATCAGCGCCCCCAGTGGATGGACGGGCTCTGCCGACAGCTTCCTGCCGACCCGGATCGTCCTTCCTGCCGACCCGGCCGGCTTCTGTGGCCCGGTGCCGTTCAGGCAGCAAACAGTGAGGGAGACGTCAGCAGGTTCATGGAGGTCAGAGGTCACGACCAGAACCAGAACCTGAGAGGAGACAGAAGAACCTGAGCAGATCCAGATCCTCCCTGAAGAACCAGAACAGAGCTGGATCAGAACCAAAGCCAGCAGAACTCGGTCCAGATGTGGACCCGGGTCTCCTCCAGAACCTCCTCCAGAACCTCCTCTGTGCTACTGGACCCGTGTGGCTCCAGCTGAGCAGCAGAAGAAGAAAAGACTTCCTGTGTTCAGCTGAACAGAACCTGGATGTGGTTCTGCTCCAGTGTAGATGTTCTGCAGGTTCTGGTTCTGTCGGACTGCAGAGCTCATCGGGTTTCCTCTGGGATCTTCATCCTGATGTTTCCCGTCTCCTCGGCGTTCTGATTGGTTCTGCTCTTCCTGCAGATCTCCTTGGTGACTCCATCCGGCTCTGATGTCACTTCCACTGGTCAACATCCAGTTTTCTCCTGTTTTCCGATGTTATCCAGTCATTTTTAGATGATGAAGGAACTGCTGACTCCACCCGGCTGGCGCTCCAGGTGGGCAGAAACAAACCAACACCAAGTCGTCTGTGAGGACCAGCTTTAGGTTCATGAAGCTGCAGAAACGTCTCGGTTAAAGTTCTGCTTCCCATCATGTCAGTTTCTAGTTCTGCTTGTTTTTCTCCGCCAAACAGACGAGATGATTAAAAATCTCCATGGAAACGAATCAAGTTTCTCGGGTCATCATTCAACCTCATGTCTCTACTTTAGTCACAAGTTCTGGTTTGGTTCTAAGCATCTGGTTCTGTTGAGCCAGAAGGTTCTGGATGAGTCCAGAAACCAGAACAACAAAAATAGAAAAATGTTGTGCAGGTTTTCAGTTTCAGGTAGAAAATCTGAATGAAAGAGAAAAATAAAGATTTTCCACTTTTGACCTTCAAGTGTTTTCAGGATGAAAAATGATTTAATGCAAAAATCAGTTTTATTAAAATTTAAGGAGGAATCAAATGTAGAAGACATGAAGAATAACTGCAGGAAAGGGTTAACGGGGTTAACCAGGTTAACATGATTAACTGGGTTAACCTGGTTAACCTGGTTAACCGGGTTAACATGATTAACTGGGTTAACCTGGTTAACATGGTTAACCGGGTTAACATGATTAACTGGGTTAACCTGGTTAACATGGTTAACCAAGCGCAGCTGGGCAATAAATGCTCCCAATTAATTACTCGAGATGACAAACGCCAAATATCCAATATATAGTTACACTGCTTACGTCAGTGGTGTTTTAAAAACAAAACCAGTAAAAACTTAACTGAGTTCATGTCAGATTCCCTCCTCACCCTCGTCTTGATAACAGTCCACTGGTTCTGTCCAGACTGTGATCAAGCTGACACTTGGTGCGCAGGCAGTTTCAACTTTACGCACAGAGAACAGAGAACATCGCGGAGATCATTATTAATCACACTAAGAACAATATCTGTCAGAGAATCACCTCTGATCTGGACGCTTTAACGGACCAGAGGCTCTGGAGCGTCCAGCAGCTGATCCGCTTCGCCGGGGTTTTTCTCCCGCAGGCCGAAGGAAGTGATCAGGAAACGATCAGAGTTCTGCCTCTTCTAATCACGTCATTTGGTGAAATGTTACCTGATTTCAAAAACGGTCTCTCAGAGAAATACTAAATGTTTCGTTTGATGACTACAAATTGGAAATAAAATGATTTTTTTTCCTTTGACGGATAACGAAAAAACTCCAGCGCCACCTCTGCTCCAAACTACCAACAAAAAACATCTTCGGTTTTTTGTTGTTTTTGCAGAGGATCAGTAAATAACTTATTGGTGTTTTATACCCAGATGTGTGCTTTAACCTTTGCGTTGCACCAGCGCAGCACATTGAAACATCCAGGCGATCAATATCAGCTCGTTTATACGAGTATTAGTATAATGGAGGCTGGTATAAATGCAATAAATGCATTTATATATGTCATCACATGGACTTATATAAAATTTTATACATTTTTTTTCATGGGGGGTGGGGGGACACTGGGCCCCCGGAACCCCCTCTGGCTCAGCCCCTGACTAGACTAGCTTAACTTTTAAAACTTAACATGAACACTTACTGCAGTTCGGAGTATTTCAGTTCAATTAACACAAAATAAAGCGACCTACATAGATTTTCTGACAGATAATCAGGTGTTTAAGTTGGCTAATCAACCACAGAGAGTTCAGGCATCACTTCCTAACGATGCAAAATGAAAATTCAAAAACTTAAATCTGAAACAAACGGAATGTTCTGTTTGGAGCGTCTACGTTTAGTGTGGGAAAAGTTTTTGTGTTTTAGTGTTAATTCCTGATGCACTTGAACTAATCTTTGCTCTGCGCTCGCCGGGCTGTTGTTTATTGGTTGCCATGACAACGAGTCTGCGTGTGACGTCAAACTGACAGAAAAAATAATCACCAGTTTTTCTACGTTTTTCCCCTGTTGCATCATTTGTTCGTAGAACGTGGCGATATTCAGATCCATCATCAAATGGGATGAAATATTTCATAAAGAGCCAAAGCTTTTCAAATTTTAAATTATGGCTCCAACAGCGACAATTAAGTAAAATGAAATTATTGGTCAATATAAAAGAAATTCACTTTGTTCTCTATTGTATCTTTACAGAACTGACAGAGAACAATTTTTTAAAGATTTATATTCAGAGAATATATTTCACATTTCCAAACTTCAGCATCTCAGCTTTAAGCCTCATTTTATAGAATCCAGTAATAACTCACCATCTGCCCCAACCAGACACACAAAAAGGGTTTTGCATCTTTAATACTTGCTACATTAAAGTCACATCATGTCTAATCTGCTGAGTCAGCAGGACTAAAGGTGGAATCAGAATCACATAATTGAAAAATACAAAGTATGATTCTTTAGGTTTACACAGAAGTTACTTATTCTGCTTTTGAAATGTTTAATAACACTTTGTTACAGAATCTCATGTTTTTGTATTTTAGCACTTGATAAAATCAGACAATAAAAGGCAACTATGTGATAATTCTTCACAAAAAATATTACTGAATTATGAAACTTTTCATCTGTAGGGAAGCATTCAGCAAATAACAGGCTGATTCCATAAATTATGACTGAAAAGTTCCTTTAATTCCATCACCAAGTGAAAGACATTAGATTACTTCCAAATTAACACATTTGTATTGCATGTATGTTTAATAGCTGCTAAAAGGTTGTTTAAAGGTAATATTAATCTGACAAGCCTGAGTCAGACTGTCCGGCAGGACAAAAGGCCTTCCAGTGACTTCAGTTCAATGAGGTCATTCAGAAAATAAGACTTTCATGTCAGCCTGTAAATATATAAATGGGTTTAACGTTTCTGGGTCTGGAATAGTTTGAGAAACAGAATCAGAGGATCAGCGACCCGATTCCTGCTGCCCGACTCTGATCTGGGCTCAGACTGGTTCTGATCACAGAAACCTGAACTGGTTTTAAGAAATCCATCCAGTGACCACTAGAGGGCTCCAGCTACTGGTTTCCTGCTATGATTTTGTTATAATTAGCATTTTATTTTGTAATTCATTGACTTACTTTGTGGAAATTACATTCTAAATCATTTTGAGCTTATTTTAAAAAAAATCTTATTCCCAAGTTTAAAACTGGATTTTGTCCCCAGAGAGCCAGATCTGGCCTTGTTGTGTCGTCATGACAACTGCTGGAATAAAACCTGCTGACACAGAAAAGCCAAGAACGTTCTGGACCAATCAGCTCTTTGGTTCTAATGGAAACTGGATGTTTATAACCCTGACCTCTGACCCCGTTGACCAGGCAGTGTTCAGCAGAAAAAGGACTCAGACTCAGCATGTGGAACCAAACTGTTTATTCCTCCAGAGCTCTACTTGTCCTCCGGCTTGTTGAAGCAGTAGGTCAGGCAGCATTTGCCGCAGTAATGGCGGTCGAAGTGACTCGCCATGAAGACGCCGGCGCCGCACTCGTCAGCCGGACACTCGCGCCGCAGACGGTGGATCTTACCGTTCTCATCCACCTGCAGACAGAAACAGTCAGCCACTGAAGGGAAGAGGCCCCGCCCTCTGACCCCAGAGGCCCCGCCCTCTGACCAGACGCCCCGCCCACCTTGTAGTACTTGAGCACGGCCAGCTTGACCTTCTTCCTCTTGTGTTTGTTCTTCTTGGGCGTGGTGTAGGACTTCTTCTTCCTCTTCTTGGCGCCGCCTCTCAGCCGCAGCACGAGGTGCAGAGTGGACTCCTGCAAACAGGAAGCAGGTCAGAGCGCCACCTGCAGGCCACCAGAACCAACACTGAACCGGTCCAGAACCATTCAGAGATTCTCTGCTGCAGCTGGTTGGTAAAACGTTAATTTGGAGAAAAAGTGACGATTAAAGCAGAAAACCTGAAAATCTGATTCAGTTTCTGTCCTGATGCTTCACTTCCTGAGCTGAAAGCAGGTCCAGTGTGTTGCTCCTGATTGTATTAGACCAAAATTATTAGAAATAATCCTGCAATTTAGCATAAATGATTTTGATTGACTCTAAGGAAAAACATGGCAGGGATCTGTGGAAATGTTTTAAAGTAAACATTAAGTTTGTGTTTTATTAATGTCAGTAAACTGGTTTTAACTCCTCACATCATCAGACTGAAGGTGAAACATGCAGATGATCTGGTGGTTTTTGGTCAATCAATATGTAATCATGTATGATGACAAACAAAATGATTGTTAAAATGCTGCTATGATCTGTTGAACAAAAGGATAAATAACATTTCCAGAGTTCAAACTGTCAGAATCCCTTCAGTGTTGGTAAGAAAATTAAATGTTAATTTCATTCCAGAACATCTGCTGATTTCAGCAGGTGGTGTTGAACAGTTGGCTTCAGGAAGCCTCTACACTGGACAGACTCAGACCAACTCAGGTTTCCTCAGTGATCAGAGGAGAAATGTCAGACCTGCACGATTAAAACCCTCGTGTTTAACTTTATATGTCATTTCAATTAATCTGAAGATAAAATCATCATGGCTTTATGACACCATTAACAGCCACAGACAAACAGTAATTAAATACTAGGTGACTTTTTTATTAAATATGATGTGATCTTGTTTTGGATGATAGTGGATGTCTCTGGTTTATTTTGGTTTGGTTGAACTTTGAGGCTGAAATAAATTTGCTATTTCCTATTAAATTAGAATAAAAAC